ATTCACCCTTGCCTAGCCTTTTATAAGGTATTTGTAAACAAACGATTATGTGTATTCATGATAGAGGCCCATATTTGATAGCAGACTTCTGTGGTGGATTTTCAATAGGAAAGTCTTCTAATAAAATATTAATAAAATAACCTCCATAATGTATTAAATTTTCCTGTGTGCTTTTTCTTTTTCTTTCTTTTTTCAAAATATCTTTATTGATTTCAGAGCGTGCAAGGGAGAGGGAGAGAGAGACAGAAACATCAATGATGAGAGAGAGTCATTGATTGGCTGGGGATCTAGCCTGCAACCTGGGCATGTGCCCTGACCGGAAATCGGACCTCAATCTGCTGGATCCTAGGTCGATGCTCTCACTGAGCCACGCCCGGCCAGGCCTGTGTGCTTTTCCTTAAACTAATTCCTGGCTAGGTCTGATCTATTGGGCTAGTTGCTCAGTGAACCTTCACCCTACTCTTTATGACTTGGCCTATTAAATAAATAATTAGTCTTGCATGTTTACAGATTGAGTATTCTAGCCTGGGGAAGTGCGTATGTGCCACACCCACAGTTTTGTTAGTTACTTTATGATCAATATCTTATTGCCCTTGAAAACGGATCCTTAAAACAATGAATGGCATTTATGTTTAGTGGCAGTAGTAAGCATTTCTTCATATTTCCTTTTAAAGATTGGTGGTAAATACTGGCTCAGATATATTGCAAATAAAAGTAATTTGGTAAATTATCATATTTTAAAATGTTGGTTTCTAATAAAAAATAGAAGTATTGTTTGAATGTTTTTTTAAATTAATTTTTAGAAAGAGAGGAAGGGAGAGGGATAGAGAGAGAGAGAAACATCAATGAGAGAAGCATCATCGATCAGCTGCCTTCTGCTCCTGGGCATGTGCCCTGACTGGGAATCGAACCATGACCTCTTGGTTCCTAGGTCGACGCTCAACCTCTGAGCCACACAGGCCAGGCAAAAATTCTTATTTGAAAGCTTGTTACAAGTAGAACTTACATTTTACTCTAGAATAAAAGAAATGAAATTATAAGCCAGTAGTTGAATTTTGGTTATGCTGGTGATGTTTTAAAGCTTTTTCCATTTTTATGTTAGTTCACTGAAACAAGTGAAATAGAAATTTGAGTTTATATGTGCTGTTATACACCCCAATACCCCATGGTCATTCATGTCCCGAGAGAGGCAGTGACAGAATTAGCATGGCCCAGCCTTGACTTAGCTGGTAAGTGGTCCCCAAATCTAGCTTCTCTTCAGGATTACTTGCTGAGTTTTTTAAAATGTAGATTCCCAGGCCTCAACACAGATCTATTGCATCAGAATCTCCAGGGGTTCATTTTATAATCTGTTTTTTAAAAAAAACTTGGTAGCGAATTCCACATGCATGCAGGTTTGAGAACCACACAAGGTCTCTAGGTCCCAGTGTGACAAAAAAGAACCTCTCTCACCCTGGCCTGATGGCTCCACTGGTCTGATAATCGTCTCAGACACCAAAAGGCTGTGGGTTCGATTGCCAGTGAGGGCACCTACCTACGTTGCAGATTTGACCCCTGGGCAGGTCACATACAAGAGGCAACTGATCAATGTTTCTCACATCGATCTCTCTCTCTCTCTTTCTCCCCCCAACTTCCTCTCTCTCAGAATTTTTAAAAAATCTCCTCAGGTGAGGATTAAAAAAAAAAGAAATCTCTTCTCAGTATAATCAATTGCACCTTGAGAACTTTCTCATGGACAAGAGGATTGTTCCATTTATCAAATGCTTGCTAGGTGTGTATTGTGTCTAAGGCATTATGGCGTGCTGTGGGAATTTAAAAATATGCATATGAATATAGATTTTACTATTACTGCCCCCAAATAGTTGACTGACTGATGTATGTGAGTTTCATTGTGGTGTCAAGTTTTTCAAGGATCATAATGCAATTTTTAATTACAGCATTGATACACCATAATTTGTCATGATGCTTTAAAAATTCTTACTCACATGTGGTTTTAGGAACCACACTAAGTCTTCGAGTCCTAAGTTGGCTGCTTCTATCTGGGCTCTACCATCTCTTCCACATGTTGCATTTGCATGATATTTTTTCTTTTTTTTTCTTTTTTAATATGTTTTTATTGATTTCAGAGGGGAAGGGAGAGGGAGAGAGAGAGAAACATCAATGATAGAGTCATTGATCGGCTGCCTCCTGCACGCCCCCGACTGGGGATCGAGCCCGCAACCCGGGCATGTGCCCTGAGCGGGAATCGAACTGTGACCTCCTGGTTCATAGGTTGACACTCAACTGCTGAGCCACATCGCTGGGCATACTTTTTTCTTAATAATGCCATTATAATCTCATGCCACTGGGCAAGCAAATGCCAGGAGGAGCTAGCACATTTAGTGGGCTCTTTTCCTGTTATAGTGAATGGAAGAGTGGTGTCAAAAACACCTTTAAATGTGTTCTATAGTTGGAGGAGCTGTTTTGTAGAGGTGTGTTGGCTTCATGTATGGGTACCGAAGCATCATTTTTGGACTTCAGTATTTGTTGGTTTAAGTAATGTAGCCCTGGAGGTTCTTGGTCAGCTTTGTGCTATCATGTCACTAGGTGGAGATGTAGCATTGTTTGCTGGTGTAGCCAAAGCAGAAAGAGTGCATCTTGATTTCTTTTTACAAAAGTTCTTTGCAGATATTTGATGAGGTTTATTATACCCTAGGAAAAAACCTGCAAATGTAATATAATTCTACATTTTAATTTTTTTAGGGTTTCAATTAAGCCCTTCTTTAATGTCTATTTTCACACTGACCAATTCTTTTTTTTCTCTCCTCTTTCTAACGTTTCCTCATGATTTCATCTTGTCAGTTATTCTAATGTCTCTGTCTGTGGTTCTTTATAGTGGTTTAATTCTAAAAGTTTAATAAAGTAATCAGAATTTTTATTCTGAGGTGAAATATTATATAAAATTTTTATTTGGTAGCAATGAGGTCAGTGTACCAAAATGTACAGTCTGAACACACCTGAATCTTATCTTTGTATTATTTTAGGTTGATACATCAAATTTTAACATATTTAAATTCTATGGAGCTTATTTACCCCCCTTTCTTCCTTTCCTTCCTTCCCTCTTTCATCTTTTTGTTTGTTTTATTTTTTAAATATGTTTTTGTTTATTTCAGAGAGAGGAAGGGAGAGGGGGAGAGAGAGAAACATCAATGATGAGAGTCATTGACCGGCCGCCTCCCGCACACCTCTGACTGGGGATCGAGCCCGCAACCCGGGCCTGTGCCCTGACCGGGAATCGAACCGTGGCCTCCTGGTTCATAGGTCAACGCTCAACCACTGAGCCACGCCGGCCAGGCTTACCTCTTGAATCTTAAACAAGTATCTGCACAGTATTGATGTAGGTGATGTCAGAGAAGTATGTGCCTGTCTCCAAAGAGCTGATACCCAGTTGAGAACGTTGCAAACACGCCATGAATTGTTTTAAAGTAATTTGAATATCTGACCTTTAGAAATTGTAAAGGTGAAGCTTTAAAAAAAAAACACCCCATAACTTCTCACTTTGGAAAACAATCTGGCTGTTCCGCGAACGTTTAAACATAGAGCTACCATATGATCAAGCAGTTTTCCTCTGATAGGTATCTACCCAAGAGAAATGCAAACGTGTGTTCACAAAACACTTGGACGTGAATGTTCGTTGCGGGTTATTCCGAATAGCCCAAAGTGGAAACAATCCAAGTGTCTGCCCATCAAGATGTGGTATATTTGTACAATGTAATATTATTCAGCAATAAAAAGGAATAAAATTCTGACAGGTTACAACATGGATGATCTTTGAAAACATCATGCTGAGTGAAAGAAGCCAGACTCCAAAGATCACATATTATAAGATTCCACTTTTATGAAACATCCAGAATAAGAAATCTAATGACCCAAAGTAGATCCGTGGTTGCCTAGGGCTGGGGTGGAGGGAGTGACTGTTGCTTACAGAGTTTCTTTTCGGGGCGGTGAAAATATACAGTTGATTGTGGTGGTGGCTGACAACTCAGCAAATACACGAAAAACCATGGAGTTGTATGTACACTTTAAATGGATGACTTGTATAGCGTGTCAATAAAGGCTTTTTTTGAAAAGTAAATTATGAGAAGGCTTCAAATTTATTAAACCGAGGAATAGTTATTGACCACCTCACAGGCATATACTAAGTTCTATTTAAGTTATAAAACAAGTGTAAGATACAAACCCTGACCTCAAATTTCTTCCAGTTCAAGAGAAAAGGCACATGCGCAGTGGATAATAATGTACTTTTTATTTCTGAAATTGTTCCCCATCTTTTGGGATGGAACCTAAATTCTGCCTTCCAGCTATCTCTGTGATGGCCCCCATCTTCTTACCCTATGTCTTTTTCTCTCTCCTTTCAAAAGCGAACTGTTGCTCCTCAGGCTTTGATGAATATCAGCCCCAACCTGGTTACCTTTAACTAACTTAAAGGACGTTTTAAAGCCACGGTAGCATCTCCAATAACTTAGAGTGTGTGGTTCGTGGAAACCAATTCATTCAGCAAACACTGATGTTTCAATTACAGATAATTGACAAATCTTAAGACTGTCAGCATTATTATCTTTTCAGTTACAGCAAATAACATTTTGCTATAATTTAGTCAGGTTGCATGGTGTTCATAAGTATATTCTTGAGTTTATAGATTTACATGAAAAATGCCTTTTAGGAATATTTAAAAGTTAAACAAATGTGTGTTTGGTATAGAGCAGACCATATCATCATTAATGCAGTATTTTGATGTTCTTGTGGCCATTAAAACTTTAAAGAAAGGGAAATTTTGGTTCATAGTATTTCTATTAAAGCCAAAGGTAAAAAAGGCACTAGTTGTTTAATTCTAAATCTCAGGTTAGAAATTGTCCTTGTTTGCTTCTCTATTATGTCTGTCTATGTGTCTGTGTATCTATCTATGTATCTATCTATGTATCTGCTAGTGCAGCAGCTAAACTTTCTTTCTTTCTTTGCAGATGCGTATGAAACCGCCAAGATGTTATGTGAACAGTATTACATGGTCGCTCCAGAGTTGGAAATTGAAGAATTCAATGGTAAAAGAATAATTTTAACCTTAAGTACAAACAAGTTGACCAAAAAACTGATTACACCGGAGCTATATTTCAGCGAAATCCTAAAATTATGCTGATTAAAAAAATCCTTTTTTAAAAAAGACTTTTTTTTTATTGATTTCAGAGAGAGGAAGGGAGAGAGAGAAGAGAGAGAGATAGAAACATCAATGATGAGAGAGTCATTTATCGGCTGCCTCCTGCACGCCCCCCACTGGAGATTGAACCCCCAACCTGGGCATGTGCCCTGACCGGGAATCGAGCCCTGACCTCCTGGTTCATTGGTCGACACTCAACCACCGAGCCACACTGGCCAGGCTAAAAAATCTTTTATAGATTTTTCAAACCTTTTCTCTATCTGTGGTCAACAAGGTATATTGTTGTAAGGAGTTTTTGTATAGGAATGTGTAATCTGTTAGAACTCAAAGTTCTTGGAGCAGAAGTCATCCAGTAGAAAATGCACAAAGGTATGAATAGGCAGTTCTCAAAATAGCAAATGCAAAGAGTCTATAATCCTATGGAAAAGTGTTTAACTTTATTAAAGAAGTACAAACAAAAGCACAGAGAAATGCCGTTTTTGTCTTTCAAAATGGCAATGATTAAAACATTTTATTGCCTCAAATTGGTGCCCAGAAAAATGCTGTCTTGCCAGTACTTACACATTTCTGGTATAAGTTTCAATCGGTGCAGCCTTTCTCAAATGATACTACCAGTATTCTTTCTCTTTGACCCAGTAAGTTAAATTAGTAATAGTCGTATTCTTTGGTCCAGTAAATTAAAGTTCAGAAAAGTTATTATAAAGAAATAGAGATATGCACAATTGTATGTACAAGAGTGGTGATCACAGTGGTTTCCTTACAGAGAAAAATGAGATCAAGTTCTCTACAACAGGGTATTTAAGTAAATTGTGGGCCACTCATAAGATAGAATACTGTGCAGCCCTTTAAAACAACACTTTAAAAGAGTCTTTTAAACACACACTATAAAAGTTTGTACTAGTGCAAGTTCACTGGGAAATACTTTGAAGGATTTCTAGCACCTAGATAGGGATGACAGCTGTGTGGATAGTGGGGTTAGAGCTGACTTTTATATTAATCGTATGAGTCTGTTTCTGTGTTACTTTTTAAAAAATTTGTAAGTTACCAAAAAAAAAGACATATTCATTGTAAAGATACAAACAATACAAAAATATAGAGTAAAAGTGAGTCTCTGCTACTCTCTCGGTCCCATACAGAGCTTTGTTTTTTTACATAAATGGGGTTGAAACTGTTCATGTTCTGTGATGTGTTTCTCACTTCGCTCTGAAGATCTTTGCCTGTATTGTCATTTAGAGATTATCCATAGTGCAGACTGCCATAATGTATTTAATCACTTCCCAGCGAAGGGGTGTGTGTGTGTGTCTGGAGGGTGGGTAAATTTGTGAACACGTGGAAAGTACTTCTGTACGTTAGATTCCTGGAAGTAGAATGACTGAGTCCTAGAGTATGGGCATGTACAATGAAAGATAAGCCAAATTCCCTCTCAAAATATATCAAAACTGTATTTCTCTTACAATGAGATCGAAATGTGAAAAGACTTCAGGCTGCTGCTGTAGGATATTTGCCCTACATTCTACTAGAAGGCATGGAATCAAAGCTGCTTTCAGAGTCCGTTGGCTTCTCTAAGACCTGTGCCCTGTTTTGCATCACTGCACTGTGAGGACCGAGGGCTTGGCTTGAGCACCCCGAGGGGAAGCACCTAAATATTCTCTCTCTCTTCCTCCTGGCCAGGCGGGGCCTCACCTCACTGTCCCGCCTTCTGTTTGTCAAACATGGAGCTTAAATTCCCAGATAGTGACCAGCTGCTCTTTCACACGAGGGGCCTCGGTCACCGAAGGCCAGAGCGGCACGCGGGCTCCTGCTGCGCCCGGGGACGGCTGTGTCGGCGAGCGCCTTCCAGCGAGGCTGTCGTGCTGGGCAGCGCGCCCCGCCCGAAGAAGAGCTTTATCGCTCTTTTTGGCACTGCCTCCTGCGTGATTTTTTAAGCCCTTTTTCCCATCATTAAGATAAACGAATGCTGGTGGTTATAGGCAGCCTCTAGTTTTCTGGTGCTTTTAGTTAATGTATTTATGATTTATAGTTATGATTTCTTGAATGTCAAAGCTCTTTGCAGGCCCAGTTAAAGACTGTGCTTTATCTCTAATAAGCTCCGTGTTAGAGATGCGGGTCCGATGGAGGCTGGTCCTGAACACCTTAAGTAGACGCTGGTGCTTCAGAATGAGAGAGAGTGTGCGTGCCCCCCACAGCGTGATGGCTGTTTGCAGGGCGGGTCGGATCAGATCCAGATACGTGCAGATGTATTTTCAGAGCCTGTGCGAACTAGCATAGCGTCGCCTTGCAGGATGCTCCCGTTGCCCACCGGGCGCCTTTAACAACTGTCAGTGACTGACAGCGCAGCCGCCCTCGCTGTGCACTCAGAAGGGTAAGGCTGCCATTACCCAAAAGAACAGTCCGTTGCCACCTGAGAATGTAAGTTCTGTCAGTGTGACATATCACCTTTTTCCCCCTGAATTTTTGTGTGTTTTTTACTTTTCCAGTGTAGACCCCTGAGAAAGTGGTAAGTAGGGCTATGTAGAACATACCGTGTGAATGCCACACTACTTACCAGTCCTCACCAGAATTCTGAATATTGGGGGCTAGCTAGAGTAAACTTCCTCTGTTATCCTTTCTGTGACACATTTAACAAGAGCCTTAAAAGTAACAGAATTTTATTGACCTCATATGAGGTGTCAAATATTTCTGACTGGCCAGCTGTGGCAACCCCTGTGGGTTCCTCCAAAGACAAGTGGCCATTTCATCACACTTGTTCTCATCTCTCTTGAGAAATCAGTTGGCAAAAATTCAGCAAATATTTCTTTATACATATATATATATATATATATATACACACATATATATGTATATGTATGTGTATATGTATGTATACATATATGTTTTTATTGATTTCAAAAAGTTCAGGAAGGGAGAGGGAGGGAGAGAAAATCAATGATGAGAGAGTCATTGATCGGCTGCCTCCTGCACGCCCCCTGCTGGGGATCGAGCCCGCAACCCGGGCATATGCCCTGACTGGGAATTGAACCTCTATCTCTTGGATCCTAGGTTGATGCTCAACCACTGAGCCACACCGGCTGGGCACAAAGAAACATTTCTAATTGACCTTTTCTGCATCCATAGTATGGTAAGGCAGCAGGGCTCAGGGGAAAGATGGGAGCTTTGTAGCTTAGCCAGGCAGTAGAAATTCTGATTCTAACATTTACACGTGGGCCTTAGACAAGTCACTTCTCGTCTGATAGTCGGCTTCCTCCTCCAGAGGCACACCCTGTGCGCAATAAAAGGATAATGTTTGTAGGGCCTCAAATGTAGCACCTGGCACGTACTGGGTATTTTAGAAAGGGTGGCTATTGGAAGCCAGGGTTGACTTGGGAAAGATAAGACTTGTATGGTTACTACTTGCATTTTTCATCATTTCTAGTTTAGTCTTTCCTGTCAAGAGGTTGTTTGCTAGCTTTAGGTTTGGTGGGAAACAGAAATTGCAATTCATGCTATGTATATTTTGTCATAAGAGGTTTCATAGAAAGGGTATATATCTACCCTGGGATCGTTGACCTCTAGTTTCTCAATATTGGATACTTTTGTGGATATTTTCAGGCAAATGGTTCTATAAAAAAGTCGAAAAACCATTACTGGTAGCTCCATTAATACTTCATTAAGTCTTGAGCATGAAAACCCTGGAAAATTTTTTCCATTGACTTTTTAAAATGTACTCTTAGATGGAAAATTCATATTCCATTTGTGTCTTATTTAGGAAGTTAACAAATATCTATTAGGAGCCCACTACAGAAAAGCCACTGGGTCCGGGATTAGGGAAGGGTCATGGACAACACATTTGGCATGGTTTTAGGAGGAAGGAAAGACATTTAAATTATAATGTTCCCAAACAAAAGTACAAGTAATTGAGCAAGTCTTCAGAAGGCTCCTAGAGATTGTTGACTGAACTGGAAAAAACCCCACAATAAAACAATTAAAGGTATTTTAATCTCCCTGAGATTTGGAGTGAAAAGCTTTAATTCAGAAGGCTGTTTATGTTACTAATCATGCCTTTTGGGACAAGATAAACTAAACATTTACTCCTGGAGCTCCGTTAAAATGACGATAATGGAATACGGAGAAAAACAGCAAAGAAACCAGGAGGTTCATCAGTGGACCGCTGATCCCGCCTCCTGCCAGAGGGTACAAGGCGGCAGCACGCCGAGGAACGGGACAGAGCAGGAGAAGCCGCAGAGGCGGCGGCAGCGATGGCGTCTGCTGCCAGCTGTTACCCTGGAGGGCCTCTGGGGGCAGAGCCAGAAGGTGCGAAGGACTGAAGTGGGGAGCGGAAAGGTAGGGGTTAGGTGGAAGCTAGTGTAGGGTAGAGCATGGAGGGGCGATGGGGAGCCCTTGACTGCCTGCGCTTCGCCTGCAGCCAGTCACAAGCATCTTCCCCTGGGCAAAGTCCAAACCAGGGGACTTTCTTCCAGAACAGCCTGGAAAAAACAGCTGGGCTGTTCATGTAAGTGGTGTTAGCCCCAAGTAAAGCCCTCTTCATTCGAGCTTTTGGAGGACTCTCCCGTCAGAGGCCAGCTTACGACCTGCTCATCCTACAGCCAGTTGGAAGCCTTGACCAGTACACAGAGCTCCGAGTGAGCCTTCCCAGTTAGGGAAGGGCCCCGGGGGAAAGGAGCGGCAGGTACCCGATATGATGAGCCCATTCTTCAGCAAGCACACCGCAGCCCAGCTGTGTCAGACCTCGGGTGAAAGCCAGCAGCGTGGACGAAAACGCGACTGGTGGTAAACTTCTCAGCCGCACTGCCATGGCCCGAAGGCCACCCCCCTTTCCAGATTCTGGGAGAGAATGATTTTGAATCAGGAATTCTGTACCCAGCCCAACCTTGGACCAAGGGAGTCAGAGGAGTAAGGGTTGAGAAATGTATCTCCCATGCACACCTTGCTGAGGTAGGTTACCTGGTGGGCTTGAGGGTGCGTTTAATAGGAATAGAAGAGACAGTGAAAACATGCTAGAACTTCAGTCAAAAACAATTTGAGGAGGATGGCTCCGCAGCGCGTTTGGAAAGCAGTTGGCTCTAGTCTGAAAAGCCTTTAAGAGTGGAGTAGGTACCGTGCGATAGGATAGGAAGCTGAACGAGCTTAGTGCTATGGGGAGGAAAGCATATGTTTCTTGTCCAGTTAGCCAAGAGAAAGGGTAGTTAGAAGCTCCGGGAAGTACATAAAACTGCATCTGAAAGACGTGGTCCAAATATTCCGGCGACTTAAAAGGGGTGGTCTGATTTTGAGCAGGTGGGGGACAATGACGAGAATCCATTTCACCTGGAGACTGAACCTTCCTCAAGTGATGCGCGAGTCATGTCATTGGATGCACAGGGAAGGAAATGTTGTGGCTGCTCTGCAGTGATCAGCGTTTACCTAGTTATGATGTTACCTACACTGTAGGCAAAGTACAGGAGAGTTCCTTAGGGTCACAAAATAGAAGGTAATTATCAGCCAAAGGACTAAAGAAAAACTAGTAATGAGTGGCTGCCCCTAGGCGCAGTCTCCGGGGCGAGATGGGAAAGGGGGGAGGGACTTGTTCTTTTCTTCTTTTTAACAAACTTTAAAATCATTTCTATATATTACCTTAATAATTTTAAAAGTAACTGATCATCAAAGGATTTAGAATCAAAAGCTAATTTTAAAAGTAACTGATCATCAAAGGATTTAGAATCAAAAGCACCTCTTCTGCCTGGCCAGTGTGGCTAAGTGGTTCAGCATCAACCTGGTCAGGGCACATGCCCAAGTTTCAGTCTCGATCCCCAGCAGGGGGCGTGCAGGAGGCAGCCGATCAATGACTCTCTTTTATCATTGATATTCTCTCTCTCCCTCTCCCTTCCTCTCTCAAATCAATAAAAACATTTAACAACAACAACAACAACAACACCTCTTCTGCTATGGTGGGCAAGTCACATAGCCTCTGCAAAACCTGTGTCCTCACTAATAATAAAGCCACCCACCCCTTGAGCCACACAGTGTTGCTATGAGGATTCAATTGGGTAATGCATGTTCAAGCTCTTTGTAAACTGCTAAGAACCAAACGCATGTTCTCTCTATACTGTTAATCATGTTCTTTATTAGAGGAAGTGCTTAGGTTGCAATTATAACATGGGTGACTGTGTCTGTGTTCTACTTGAGAAAGTTCGCATGGTTTTGGTCTCGAGTGATTTCAGGTCACGAGGACTACACTTTCTAGTTCTTCGTGCTTGACAATGGAATTTGATATTTCTCAGATTTCCCCCAGAAAATCTCTGACACAAGGAGAAAGCACTGTAGGTCTCAGCGGGGTGTGGGGGGAGGGGGGTGCTAGCTGCTAGTAGAAAAAAGTTAGTGAACCTTACATTCTACTCTATAATGTGCCTTGTTTGTCACCATTTAACATTGCTGTTTAGTCCAATTCACCAAAAAGATGGGCCCCTCTTCCTCTGTGGCTTCACATTCCCCCTGCTGGCCACTGCTGCCTCCCACTATGAGAAGCACCGGGCGGTATTCGGGTGGCCTCTCTAATGCTCCGAACAGTATGACGTGGGTGATGATGCCCCAATTTCACTCAACTAAGTTCCAAAGCAACTGATTACTTTGCTCAGGGACACATAGCTGGTAAGTAAAAGAACTGGATCCCGCCCCAAAGTTGCTGGGCCCCCGGAAGCATTTGCTCGGCCCTGCCTTTGGCGTGGAAGCCTAAACGAGGCCTTTGTGGAGTTCAGTTTTCATGTGCTCGGAAAATAGAATGCAAACATGTTGCCTTTCTCTGAGTTCCTGCCCTTATTCATCCCCGGTTTTGTCTCTGTTTTCAGCCAAAGCCCCAGGCAAACCCATTCAGGTAGTTTATGTGCCCTCGCATCTGTTTCACATGCTGTTTGAGCTGTTTAAGGTGAGTGGAATTTAACATGGACAGGAGCCTTTATTTGAAATCACTTTGATTCGGGGCATAATGGGTTCATTAGATTAGCATAAGAAAAAGGTTTTGCATAACCTTTTTTTCAAATTCTATTTCTGATATCCTGTGGGTTTTATAATTTGTACACTGGGAGACGACAAATGGCCGTGTACAGTGTAGTTTGCGTGAATATTAGTACATATTGATTTTGAAGCTTAATTGTACTTCAGTGATTTGATGTAAAATCCATACTGTTTTTCCTTCAGTTAGGAGATTAGAGATGCTTTTTAGTTTCCAAACCTGGCAAGGCTCTATTGATGGTAGCCAGATCAAAATAATAAAAAACATTTTTACTCATATTTATGCTTCTGAACATTAACCTTGCTGGTGCGTTAGTAGTCGGTCTAGTCCTGGGAGCTGCCGTAACCCTTCTACATATTGGAGCCCATTCAGAAGATCTGACAGAGGCAGAGGAGAGAGATGCGGGAGGGCTAGGCCAAGAAGGACCCCCGCACACACACAAGAGTCATTAGACTCTGTCCCGCGGAAGCTGTTGCTTTTGTTAACCGGTAGCTAACAGCATCTACAGTAGCAGGATTACAGGCACAAGGCGCTTGGGCTAGAATTTCCCTTCTTCCGATATATGCGAAACCCTAAATTGAACACCTGAGAATCAGTCACGCTGATTTGCTTCCCACAGTGACACTGTGATGTAGCACTTGGAGGCTGAGATGGGCGTTCAGTTGTGAACTTGCTCACCGGCTGTGGCTTTTTCAGAACTTCTTTCCCACTGACGGGCCTTCTGCTTTTTCTCCCAGCCAAGTGGTTAATTTCTGGCGGAGCGGGTTTCTCGCCGCCTTTAGAGGGAAGGGGTTCTGTAGCTGCAGACCCATGGGTAGGGTTTCAGGCGCACCGGTGAGCCCCTGCGGCCCCCTTACATGGGATACAAACACTCGTCTTGGTTGAGAGTTGAATGGTTTGAACACCCTAAAGCCAAACAAAAAGGAAAAAGGAAGTAATGAATAGATGTGGCAGATGGGCCTCAAACTGGATGAAAAACAAGGCATCAGGAAGTGAGTGTTTCCTTGATCCAAGCGCACATTTAGCTCAATTCTTTAGAGGGGGAAAAACACACCGTATAAATACTGCTAATATTTCCCCCACAAAAGAAGTGTGCATAAGTAATCTCATCTCGTGCGAGTTTCTTTTTTTAAACTGTGGTTTGTGAGTCAGTGGTTTGCTAAAGAAAAGGTCTTATTATTTCAGAACTCCATGAGAGCAACAGTCGAACTGTACGAAGATAGGAAAGAGGCCCACCCAGCGGTTAAAACCCTCGTTACTCTGGGCAAAGAAGACTTGTCTATTAAGGTACCTGCTTTATTTGCACATATGCTTTAATTGTCAATTCATTTCATAGTATGAGGCACTGAGGAATCAGAGGGAAGGGCCGAAACTGACATGTACTGAACGTTGGATTTGTAAGCACTGCGTTAGATCTTTGGCTTAAGTTAGCTCATTTAACTTCATCAGCACCCTGTTTCTCAGGGAGCAAAAACGGAGTCTCAAACCCATGCCTGTGGGCTCCCACGGCACTTTTCTGCCTCCTTTTTTTTACACTGTTCATGAAGGGACCATATTTCATTGGGGGTTTAAAGCCCGTGTACGTTTTAGAGTAATCTCATATGGATGGACTTTATTTAATAAACTTGTTGCCAAAAGTGAAATAAAATTAAAAAAAACAAACAAACTTGTTGCCTCATATTAAGTATAGAATGGCTCCTCCTCTTCTTTCTCCCCCATTACAGATCAGTGACTTAGGTGGTGGCGTCCCCCTCCGAAAAATAGATCGTCTTTTTAACTACATGTATTCAACTGCTCCCAGACCAAGCCTGGAGCCTACAAGAGCTGCCCCTCTGGTAAGCGTCTTAAGCTGCTGCTTCTGGAAAGACCCTTAACGTGAGCAGGGACTCTGACGGGGCTGGGCGTGAGCCTTGTTGCATTGGAACGTTTCCTGCGTGGTTTGGAGGAGGGAGAATTTTATGTCACCGCTACTTCTTTGTGAATCCTTTGGACTTAGATTTCTTCTCTGATTTGTGTCTGAGACACACTCAGAGCTCAGTGCCACACTCAGAGCTCAGTGCCTTACTCCCAGATGCAGAGAAAAGGCATTTCCCCCGTGGTTACGAGTGCTGCAGGAGTGCCATTTACCGCCCGGGGCTACCCTTGGAGGGGGTGGAAGTTCAGACCTGGGTGAGCAAAGGAACAGCGCAGGGTGCCTGGCTGCAGCGTGGTCCTGGCACTTTGGCGTGCGTGCCCTAGACGGCCAAATCACCCCGGGCCCTTGAACTTCCCTGCCAAATTTGTTTATATAATTAAAATGTTAAATTGTGAACACATTCCATTTTTTATATTAAATAACATAAGCAGGAAACGTATAGGTGGCGTATGCATTTTCCGAGCCCTTTCTGTCTCACTCTGGAAATAACCTTCAGCCCTATTAAGTCAGTGAGAAAAGCCTGGTTACCATGGCAGCATTGAGATCCTGGTAGGGCCACACTTTCTTCCCCTGCTGAGTGTTTCTAATTGACAAACAACAATTGAACCCTTTGTCATTAAACACAGCAACATCTATCAGTCTGCAACATGGTTCAGGGTATAAATTAAGCTTCATTTTCAAGTCCTACCTGACGGGTAAGCACGTAAGATTATATTTTATTTGTATGAATAAAATCTAACACTCTGCATTGTTTATTCGAGACAGAGTTTATTAACTCAGCATGTTGAAAACAGAGAGGGAGTCACGTCAGATTCAAGAAAATTCACGAAAGATCAATTTTGAAAGGCATTGCCTTGACCAGGCTCTGGTACCTACTTAAATAAATGTCAAAAGGAGGAAAAAGCCCAGCCGGCTTGGCTCAGCAGTGGAGCATCAGCCTATGATCCGGGAGATCGTGGTTCGATTCCCGGTCAGGGCACAAGCCCGGGTTGCGGCCTCGATCCCCAGCAGGGGGCGTGCAGGAGGCAGCTGATCAATGACTCTCATCACTGATGTTTCTCTCTCTCTCCCTCTCCCTTCCTCTCTCTGAAATCAATAAAAACATATTTTTAAAAAAGGGGGGGACCCACTATGAGCAAATCTAGAGTCTGTCCCAGTTATTTAAAAAGAATATAGTTAGACTATTCCAGGTGTCAAAATAGCATCCTGGGGATAGCTGTTATGTCCTAGTTATTTGTTAGTGAAACTGAACACAGGAAGTAAGAGACCTTAAGAAATATCTGTGTGCGCCCTCCCATTTTCCAGGTGAGGCAAGAAGCTTAGTACCTTGCCCAAAGTCACCGAGCTGGCCCGGCACTGGCCATGTCTGCGTTCTTTCCCGTGTACCTGTGGCCTCTCCTTGGGAGGAAATGTGCCCACTGACGTCCCTCCCAGTTAGTAACTGCCTCGGCTTTAAAGGGGCCTGTGGGCCTGCACTGCTAGAAAACCTAATGTCCTCACCAAGCACCCTACTGTGTTCCAGCTCCGTGATGCCACACACGCACTTCTTTCTCAGAAATGCCCTCCTAGGCAGCCCCTGTTGATCTTTTGGCATCCTGGGAAAGCTTTCTGAACCTCCTCGCATCAGGACTGCGCTGGCCCCGGGCGTCCTCGGCGGGTCCCCACAGACCCGAGGAGGGTCTGGGCCGTGCTGGAAGGACAAGGCTGATGGCCTCCGCCGCTTCCTGGAGTGCGCTGGTTTTTCCGCTGTGGTGATCTCAGTCACCATTATGGATATTTTGTCTTCCCTGCTGGCCATGTTGCCCTTAAATGACAGGGTTCACTCCTCTGTCACACCCAGCCCCTTGAGTTGGGCCTACCCTGAGGAAGAAATCTAGGAAAGAGTGTAGAAATCCATGTAACTTGGTAGAATTGCTGTTCTGTAGTAGCTATAATAGCAATTTCCATATATTTAGTTTCATTACGTCTTATGACATAAGTTTTTTATTATTATTATTACGTTTTCCGATGAGCAGACAGTCTCACAGAGGTGCAGTGAATTGCTCAGACTTGCACGAAAGGCAGGTTTCAGCGTAGGTGTATCTGAGCCTAAAGCCCGTGCGGCTGCCGCTCGGAGTGCGTTACCCGCCGCCTCCTTTGTTACCCGTGGCAGTGGGCTTACTCGGAGGGACCCAAGCTTGCGGTTCAGCCTCTCCCCCTCCCCCAGCATTGCTGACGTCACTCTCAGTTCTTGTTAATACCCGAGACACCCCCCCCCCAACAACCTGTTACTGGCAGGCAGGGTTCTACGATGCAGAGATATAGGCAGGTACTGGAATTCTTTTCTTGTCTCTAAAAATACGTAGACTGCCACATATCCGTACCTTGTGGTGTTCCCAGAACCTTAGGAAGTGGCCGCTCAGAAGTTGTTTTCTTTTCAGTGCGTAGCCTTGGTCCGGGTAGGTTTGCACTACTGTGCTATTTAATTTCATTCTCTCTCCACAGAGCAAGGGGATCTGATAATGAAACTTCGGAGTGACGTGGTTTTAGTTTTGTTGCCAGTTCAAATTCCACTTGATCTGGGGATTTGCTTTAAAAAATGTGCTTTCAAGTGCTAAGAAAGCCTTAGTCAAAAATTGCAGTATTTCTGTTATTTTCCATGCCTATGAGAAGTGTTTTTATGGAGTGCAAATAAATTGTCCGCCACAGATGAGCATATACATCATTGTAGAGGTTGAATCAATAGTTTGTTTTCTTTAAATCCGAATCAAGAATTTATTTTAATCTTGAACGATCCTCATACCAAACGTGTTAGCAAGTGTGCCTGTCTCACTGAATTCATTTTCTTTCCTCTGTAGGCTGGATTTGGCTATGGCTTGCCAATTTCTCGCCTGTATGCTAGATATTTCCAAGGAGATCTGAAACTGTATTCTATGGAAGGCGTGGGTACAGATGCTGTAATTTATTTGAAGGTACTGCATTTTGTTTCTGTTAGTATGAAGGCATCTATGCTTTCAAGCTATAAGTTCTAGTAACTAATAGATAATAGACCATAGCACCTATCATCTCTTATATTCAGTTGTTTTACTTCAGTTTTATGTGAAAATCATGTTATGTCCCACCCTTAATTTTCTACTCAGATATAGCAAAATATGAAATATGGAGCTATAAGGAGTAAAGTAATTGATTTTTAAAACCATAATTCAAAGTTGTGGTTTTCAAAAGATTGAAAGGCTTCATCTAGAAAGAGCCAGATGATCATAACCTGGAGTCTTAAATGTAAGTCACGAAACCATAAAAATCCTGGAAGAAAACATAGGCAGTAAAGTCACAGACATCCCACGTAGTGGACTTTTCACTGATACATCTCCTAGGGCAAGAGAAACAAAGGAAAAAATAAACATATGGGACTACATCAAACTAAAAAGCTTCTGCACAGCGAAAGAAAACAGCCTCAAAATACAAAGGAATCCCATGGTCTGGGAAAACATATTTGCCAAGGATGAATCTGATAAGGGGCTAACTTCCAAAGTGTACAAAGAACTCATAGCACTCAGCAAGAGGTAGTCTTTTGCTTTAAAAACTTGCTGGCTTTCCCAGTGTCCCAAGAGTTCAGTGATCATAACATGGTTATAAAAAAGGCTGATCTAGTAACAAGGTTCTCTAACACAGGCTTTCTCATTCGTTGGTGCTGTTAGACTTTTCTTCATTTCTAAACTCTAGAATATGCGATGTTATTTTTTGAGTAGGTAACATAGGCACATACTACAAACTTCGAATGCTACAAAAGGGAAAAGTCTCTCCCCCTCTGGCCTAAGTCACCCTGTTCTGTTTCCCAGACGTAACCACAGGTGCCAACTTCTCGTGGATCCTCTTGGAAAAATGTAATTTTTTTCATACAAATGATTATTTCAGCACTTTCCTTTCTTTTTTTTTTTTTTTTTTTTTTTTTACTTTCTAGTATATCTTGGAGATCTTTACATATGTGTAATATATTACATCCTAACTTAACCAGTTATTTGGAGTGTTTATCTTAATGCCAGTGCATTCGAATGGCGTGATATTTGATAACACTTTATGAGTTATGTTTGTAAATCTAGTATGTATGAGACTTTATTTCTTTCTGGGCCCTTTGGGAGAACAGGTGCCCAGTGAACAACAGTGCTTGGTCTAAGACCATATAGTCAAAAGTGTCTCAAAGCATTATTAACTGGATTCAAATGCTCTTTATTCTGGTCAGTACTGGCTTTGAATGAGTGGATGTTTTTATTCCTTTCAAAAAGCTTTCATTTCACCCTGGCTGGTGTGGCTCAGTGGTCGGAGTGTTGGCCTGCGGACTGAAGGGTCCCAGGTTTGATTTCAGCCAAGGGCACATACTTCGGTTGCAGGCTTCGTGCAGGAGGCAACCAATCGATATCTCTCACATCGATGCTTCTCTCTCTCTCTCTCTCTCTCTCTCTCTGAAAAGCAATGGGGGGAAAATATCCTCGTGTGAGGATTAAAAAAGAAATTTTAATATAATTCAAAAAATATGCATTAAGGTTTGTAATGTTTTAAATACTAAAATTTGGACTCGTATTTCATGTGAGACAAATGACACTGTGGCCCTTTGGTGTGTATTCTTTCATTAGGCTCTTTCGAGTGAATCCTTCGAGAGGCTTCCAGTGTTCAATAAGTCAGCTTGGCGCCACTACAAGACCACACCTGAAGCCGATGATTGGAGCAACCCCAGCAGAGAGCCCAGAGACGCTTCTAAATACAAGGCAAAACAGTAATAGTTTACTTCCCTTTCTATTCTGGAGTATCTGATTTTCCCCAGAATGTGCCAGTCAGACAATTGATACTTCCAGCTAGATCTTCTTTGTGGTTTTATCACTGGAAAAGCAAAGCGAGCCCTGGCCGGTGTGGCTGTTGGTTGGGCATCGTCCGTGCACCAAGCGGTTGCCTGTTCGATTCCCAGTCAGGGCACATGCCTGGGTTGCGGGCTCCGCGCAGGAGGCAGCCGATCTATGTTTCTCACTCACATCGATGTTTCTCTCTCTCTCCCTCTCCCTCTCCCTTCCTCTGTCTCTAAAATCAATAAAAACATTTAAAAAAAAGAAAAGCAGAGTGATCCCTAAAGAAATATTGGAGCAGCTTTCTCACCCCAGACAGAAAAGAGAGCAAGAATTGGGTAACCAGAGGAGCCCTTCAAATAGGGGCCCTGCGCTTCCAGGAGCCCTTGCACTGTGGAGGTCTCAGCAGTTAGTGGTTTATCCTGCCATGAAGTATATTTAAAAAGTGATTGAGTTGGCAGTTTATCATCATCTACAGAGCCTGACAGAAAAAAAGTTAGGGAAATTCTGTGGGTTGAAACTGAAAAAATAAAGAAGTTAAAATTATCAATCAAGATAAACAAAATGTGGTATATCCACACAGTGGAATATTATTATTCACCCTTTAAAAGGAATGAAGTTCTGACGCACAGATAAACCTGAAATCATTATGCTAAGTGAAATAAGCCAGACCCCAAAGGACAAATACTACATGATTGCACTTATATGAGTTACCTAGTGTAGTCAGATTCATAGAAATGGAAATTAGAATGGTGGTTGCCAGTGCAGGGGGGATGGGGAGTAGTTTAATGGGGAGAGAGCTTCAGTTGGGAAAGATGAGAACGTTCTGGAGATCAGTTGCACAACAGTGTGAATGCACTGAACACTACTGAACCGGACGCTTAAAAAGAACCAATCATGTTGATACTTTTTATTCAAATTGAACATTGCAGTGTTTCTCCCTAATATAGTTTAAGTATATATTTCTTCTTACCCTGAAAATTTTGTCTTAACATAACGCAACAGGAAGGTGTTTGTCTGCAGATATAGTTTATATAGCTTTGTACTTTTGTACCATTATGGTAGCATTGGTCTTTCTGGTGAGGGATATAAAGGGTATCTATACTGACATATTATTTTTTTCGATGGAAGTATTGTGATGGACCTCTGAGCAATATTGTGGGATTGGTCACTTACCTCAAATGATGACATTTAGAGGAGCTTGGTTTGTGCATGTGAGTGCAAGCACACATGTGGGCATGCATGTGTATACACACACACGTGGGCATGCATGTGCGCGCGCACACACACACACACACACACACACACACACACCCCTGGCCAAGATTAAGCTAAATCACCTTGAAACACCTGGATCTGTTTCCCTTGATTCCATTTTCAGTCTGTATGTTAGCCAAGTAGCATGTTGGGCATCCATGTAACGAATTAATTCAAACCATTGCTCTGATGGGCGAGTTGTTTGGGTGGTACAGAAGCAGTTTTTAGAAATGATAACGTCCATTTGGATTGTAAAAAGATGGCTTTAATCAAATATTGTTTTAAAGGCAATTTTAAAACTAAATAGTTTAGCAGGTTGTATACTAATTTAGTATGAGTCTTAATTTTTAATATAGTGTTAGACTAACATATTTGAGCCAAAAACAATTTTTAAAATTCTAAAATGGTTAGCCCAACAATTAAAATTGTTCAGTTATACAAGTAGGATAATTGGTGTTGGTCTTTGGAAACTATTTAGTAAGTATGGTAAATTCACTAGGTGAATGAGAAGTTCTAAGAAAACTTATTCTCTAATCAGATTTTTAAGAACAGTTTTATTGAGATGTAATTCATATACCATAAAATTCATCTGTTTAAAGTGTACGATTCAGTGGTATTTAGTGTTTCACAGAGTTGTGTGACCCTCACGCTATCTAATTTTAGAACATTTTCATCCCCCCAGAAAGAACCCCTGCACCTGTTAGCAGTCATTCCTCATTTCTAATCAGGTTTTTGCCTGAGAGTAAAGAACTGTTTTAAAGTATATATAAGTAATTAAATGGTAATTCTTTTGCTGCAGTAACCATAGGGAATGATTCTGAGATAAGGCAAGGGGTCTTTGAATTACCACCATAACTGAATACTTTGAGTAAGTCTTGGTTGAAATAGAGAAGCTTATACTCCTGAACTCACTATGGATATTCCCGTTATTTTCTTTGTAGAGACAAGATCAAGACTAATAGAACTTTCTAGAGAACTGAATGCTTTGGTCCTCTCTGTGAAGAAAGATCATCTTCTGCAAGTCAACCTCTGAACTCCTTTCCTCTGCCAACTCTGAGCGTGACACCGTAGTTTTTCCAGTACTGGACTTTTTTCAGAGAAACTGTCATGTAGCTACTTCAGACCTTCCAACTAAAGTAGTAAACTGCGTACCTTTTCCTTGTATGTTGTGATTTGGTTGGTGCCTGTCATAGGAGAGCACAGAGCCTCGGGGGCGCTCTTGTGTCCTCATGCCTCTCTCCTCATTGTCATAGAGTCCAGTGTCTACAGTGTCCCCGGGGTCCTAAGCTCCTTCCTCATTCCACATACAGCAGATCTGTACTGTTGCGCTTGGTGACCAAATACCATGTTTGTCCCAAACCACCAACTGAGGCCTGGGGAGCCTGGGACTGAAGCCGTCAGCTGAGCGCCTTGATTCAGCCCCAGGGCCCCCCTCTCTCACGCCCCCCTCCTCGCTCTCTGAGAGTCTGGCCTTCTGCCATCTGCTTGTGTTCTCATTGTGAGGTGCGTGTACTTTTGCATTCCGTCTTCAATGCATTGGTTTATTTTTAAATTCACTTGTATACCTCTCTTCTGTCCATTAAACCATTCTAAAAGTTGTCTTGGGATTTTTCACTTAACTGCTTGGTTTCAAAGATGTTAAGTGAAAACTACCTTCTGGCCACTGTCAAGTTTGTAAAGAGCGGGATGTGGAGCTCTTATGCTTGTGTAGACTCTTTACTAATCTAACACTTCCTTTGTCATGTGATATTCCTTCGTGGTTTTCTAAGGAATTGCAGGTCCTCACTGATGTACCTCACTAGCTGTAAAACAGTCTACCACAGGGAAAAGTTCTTTCTGGTTTATTTTGGAAAATGCCCTAGGTCTTCGTAATTTTCATTCTCATGACTTTTCGCCAGTTTTAGAGTTGCTGATCTGATTTTCCCAATCCTTTGCTTTTTGCTGGAAGTTGGAATTGGCAGAGGACTGGGGGCGAGGGAAAAGGAGCTGTTGCTATTTGCCCATAGAAATGGCAGCCATCCGAGAGTCCTGATGACAGCCCGCCACTTATGTAGCTCCGTGGGATGTGCTGCTTTCGTTTCATCATGTGGTAGTTCCCTTCATCTTCAGAAAGACCTCAGTCCTCTCTTCAGTCCTTAGAAGGATCTCATGAGAGAAGGCATAATCAGGTAAAAGAAAGGCAACGTACTTCCAAGTCAGGGGCGACGAGATGGTCCTTATGGAGGCCGAGTCAGTGTCTTGGGGACGGGGCTTTTCCATATGATTTTTTCTTTGTGTAAAACAATGTAAAAACAGTGCTTCTTTACATTAAAAATCCCTGGCTTCCTTATAAACGTTAACAAGTATATGAGCGTCTTGCTAGGCCCCTGTTTCCAACATGTTCCTTTACTCTTTCAGGAATGGTGCCCTGTAGGGGGAGGCAGCAGGTTCCAGAAGTGCCCCCTCCTGCTTGAGGCATGCCCAGTGATCATTGCGCGCTTACAGCAAGCTCCGTGTAAGGGTTGAAGGTGGAAAGTAGGGTGTGGGAAACTCCTACCACGTTCCTCCCTTCACAGCTTTTTCAAAAGTAAAGATTTCTTGCAATGGCTTAGTGACTTAATTGGTAGTCCTTTACTGATATGCTTTCTGGTTCACTCGTGTCCGTCTGACCCCAGTACACTCTTGCCTCCTGTTTGTTTTCTGCATTAAGAATTTAACTTCACTCCCAAAGGAACCGTAAGAAGAGTTTCAGGAACATCTGGCCTCTGTTTAGTGGCCCCAAGTATTCATTTATTGTTTTTGGTGGCTGCGCATGATTCTTTGAACTTAGGTGCGTCCCTCCGGCTGTTTGATGGGTTTGTCTCTAAGCAAATAGTCAAGCGTCTACATATAAGTTGTAATATAAATAGCCAGTTGACCCCTTTTCCGAGAAATTGGTTTAGTTCCTCCAGTTCCTCTGCCTTTCATTGACTTGATTTTAAGTATTTGGAGACTGTGTCTACTATTTGGAACAGTGCCTGGCACATAGTAGGTGCTTAATAAATACTAGTTGAATGAAGGGATGAAAACAGAGACATTTACCTGGGGTGGAGGGCAACATCTTTCTAAATGCTTAAACTATCTCTGTTTCCAAATTAAAACTCATTCTGTTCAGGAGCTGTGGAGGTACTGAGATCCTCTTTGTAGTGCTGAGCAGGGACTTCAGAATGTAGAGAAATGGAAGAAAGGAAGCAGGGGTAGGTCCACGGAAGGCTCCGATCCCTTCTTTGTCTTTGAATGTTCATTTTGACGCCTTGCTGCGGTGGGTCTTCCATCCGTGGCTTTATAGCCTTGCCTGTAGATTCCAAAGGACTTTGGCCTACCGCACCCTCGGTCCCGCCATGCCGAGGTGGCCCGTGCAGGCGTTGGCTCGGGCTTGCGTGAGGCCCAGAGCGGTGCGCTGTTTGCCAAGGTGGCGTGGCGCCTGAACGCAGGGCCAAGGTGAGGAGATGGATGTTATTCCTCGGCCTGTACCCTCAGCAGCGCGCCAGGTGATTAGCATTATTCGTTTTGAGGCATTTTGGGGGTGTACCAACTCTCCAGGGGAAGATATACACCAAAGTTTTTCTCTGATGCAAGAGAATTCCTTTCAAGAGAGGTTCTCTTCTGTGTGTTTTCATTTTGGCAGGGTTAGTTAGAGGAGACAATCGAATGGATTCGGCAGCTTTTACCTAGGAAGACAGGCAACTTAAAGTGTATAGTGGTAGGCAGTTAGTAGAGTTATTTAGATTTAATTTTATGTTTGAATGAACTCAGTGCTTACTGCTGGCCCTTCGTACAAAGACCTCTCATTCGAGAGTTGATGCTTTTATCTTTTAGGGGACCCGATGCCGCTGCGTTTAGCTTTTCTTGCATATTTACAAATGGCCTGCTGTTGCTGTTCCTTATGTTCGGTAACTTGGCTGGCTCTCAGATTCTTGGGTCACATCCTTTGTCCCTCGGTTCTTTGAAGCCCTCACTTTATTGTCTTCTAGTGTCTGGTGGTGCTGAGAGGGCTGAGTCCAGACAGATCTTTCCTCCCCTTTGGAAGATGGCCCGCTGGTTTGTCCTGGGTGCTTGTGATCTTTCTGTGTATCCTTGAATTCAGGAGCTTCATTCGAGCATATCTCAGAGCTGACAGTTATCTGCTGGCCCTGTCTGGCTCTCAGTGAGCGTTAGGTATTGACGTGCGTGCGGGCCTCACTGTATTTCTCGCGGGTTTATTTGTTCCCTTTAACAGGTTGTCCCAGGCCTGACTCCCTGTTGTCTGTCCTTCACATTTATCTTGCCCTCGATCGCTGTCACCTTGCGTCGCCTCCTGCTGTGTGGTTTCTTTCCGTTTCCCGTAGCGTCGATGCCTGGCCTTGGTGCTTGCAGTGCGGCTTTCACGTCCGTCCTGGTTTGATTTTTTTACCCGTTTCTTTCCATAGCTCGGCCAGCTTTTTTCTCTCATCATGTCGACCTCTTGGGCTCCTTAGTTTTTCGTTTCTTTGGAGGCCGAGCTGTGTCGTCTACATTTTTGTGGTTTCTGAAATCCTTCCGTTTGCGGAGCGTGTTCACCTGCCTTTTGTTCCTTTCATTCCGTGTCTCCCGTGTTGTTTTGCTCTGTTGTTGTTGCACAAGTGTTGCGATGGCCTTTTCTGCTGCTTGTTTTGCATTGCAGGGGACCCGTCCTGCCTGCCCGGGGAGAGGCTGGGTAAAGCCTCCTTGCCTCCTTCTCCAGGGCGAAGGGCTTGAATGAGCTGAGGCCACCCCTTGCTGGGCCTGTTGTGCTTCTCATAGTGCTCTCTACGCGTGGCCAAGGGGGAGAAGCAGAGCCTCCTTGGGCCCTGTCATCTGGGCGCGCCTTCCGTGGACACGGGGTCCTCTGCCCAGGGTGGCCACGCCCCGTGGGGGGAGAGGGTTCCCCTTGACTTTCCCGCTTCCATTAGGCGTGGCGCTAGCAGGAGTGGGGGGTTCCTGCCCGGGCTCTGCCGGGTGACACCTGCAGCACGTCCTCGAATGGCAGCTGCCTTATAGCATTAGTGAGATGCCGTAGGAACTTAGTTCTTGTTTATATCAATTAGCCTTTGGGAAAATTGGTTTTCATACACATTGTTTCACTTAAAACCAAAGAGCCCATCCATGACGCTAAGTGAGGACTTGGCGTGGGCAGCGTTTGTGCGATTGGCTTCTGAGTTACTCTCTCTCTGCACTGGGTGCAAATGCTGCACCTGAGATCTCAACCTCCCCGCTTCGGTTGCTGCTGGGAATGCGCCCACGTAGGATGCACCCAGTTCTCCTGCCTGCCACCTGTCCTTCTCCAAGTCAAGAAGAAAGGAGTGGTAGAGAGCCCTTTGGAACGCGCTCATGAACAGCCCAGCAACTGCGTCTTGCCTGACAAATTCGAGAATCTTCCTTTGATGAGTCCCCAATTTCATTGAATCTGTCAGACCCTCCCCTGGAGTCTTTGGAGTGGTGGTAGCTTTTATTAGATTCATTACAGACAGCTTTTTCAGTTTTTGGCTGTGTGTATTGAAGGGCAGGAGCACTTAGCTAAACATGCATTTATTCTGCCATCTCTCCCAGTGGCGCAGGTGCTTAAACATTAACTTTGAAGATAATGTTCTTCATAATCACAGTCGGTGTTAGTAAGCACAAGGACCCAATATCACTGGCAGGAGAGAAGCATTAACAGCTTGATTGATAAAGGATTTTTGTTTATTGTTCTTAGCGGAAAGATAACTTTTAACTCAGGTTACATTGATCAGAGATACCAGTACCTTCTGGCTTGAAAGTAAGGGACATGGGACATTTTAATGAATGTAAGATGCTATCAGCCATGGACATTTATTAGTTTATTAAATGTAATAGAATATTTCAGATAAACACCTAATCGGAGTCATCAAGAGAATTATAAACTATTTCTTACTAACACTTCGTTAGTCCAGCTGCCCCACTGAGGGTAGTTACCCTGTGAGAGCTTTACTATGATACAGGTTTGCTTACCTGTCTTTTCAATTAACTCATTTTATAATTTGGTTCATTAAGAAATAGAAAAGTTAAAGGCATCGTCAGGATTATTTCTGTGATATACATTTAGATGGTTTGTAGGTCCGGGGCCTACTGTAGAAACACACAAGGGACTGTTTCAAAAGAGCACGGACAGGTGGATCACAGGGTGGGGTTTTATTTGGCCTGTTTGTGGGGTCTCCTTTCCTCGGTGGCCAGCATATTCTACGAGGCAGTCTTTTCTCACCTTCAGGCCCAGCCTGGCATAGTGACCAAGGAGTGTGCGTGGCAGCCTGGCTCCCTTTAGTTGGGGACTAATCAGACTACTCTGTGCAGTGCCTTCACCTAAGGTCAGAGTCATCGCCCTGGTTCTGTCCTGGTGTGAAATGGAGACTTAGATATGTGCCCACATGTAAGAGACAAAGGAAATTAAAGTGGTAGACAGAGAAGTAATGTCAAGGAAAGTCATGTTCATTCCTCCATTTAAATACTAGTGAGCATCTACGGTCTGCTAGCAACTGTGCTGAGTGCTGGGCACGTGCAGTGGTCTAAGCAGACGGAAGTCCCTGCCTCAGGGAGCGCAAGTTCTAGTAGAGGAGACAGACAAGAC